AACCATGTTGTGGCAGGCAACCATGTATCAGGGCCCTTTAAAGAAGAGGTGAAGCCCAGTGTTAGAGCAAACATGCTGCGAACAGAGAGGCAAGGAAAGGAGAAGTTACACTTTTCTGAGGAATTCAGAAAAGCAGGCCAATTCGTAAAGCTGCATGACCGAAGCCCTTAAACTAGACTAACTTGTTGCTTTTTTTTTCAAATCTACAGATTCTTCAAGTTCACAACAATTTATATAAATAAACACGGATGTTGTGTGGTCTTTGTGTCTTTTTTCTCCCACTTAGCAAAAGGTTTTCAAGGTTTTTCTATGTTGCGCTATTTATATATGTTTTATTACTTGGTGTTGAATAATATTCCACTGCATCAATATACCACAGTTAGCTTATCCATTTGTCAGCTGATGAGCACTTGGGTTGTTTTTGCTTTTAGATTCTCTAATGGATAATGTTGTGACCAACATTGATACACAGAAATGAAATTCACTTTCTTTACTCTTGACTATATAACCCAGGGCCATATATACATTTATGTTTAATGTCTTGAGAAGCAGCCAGGTTGTTTTCCAGGTTGGTGACACCATTTTACCTTCCTGCCCCTCTGAGGATCTCAATACTTCTACAGTCTTGCAAATACTAGCTGTTTGGTATGGTGTCTCAGAAGTGCTCATTGTGGGTTAGATTTGCATTCCTTTAGTGACAGTGAGCATTTTGATGGTTAATCTTGGCTGTCATCTTGACTACCTCTGGAATCAAGTAAAACCCAAGCTGCTGGACTGTGGGATTTTCTTAAAACAGTTATTTGAAATAGGAAGACCCAAAGACCCTCCCTAAATCTTGACTATCACACCTTCTGGTGGCAGCTCAGATTTAAATAAAAAAGAAAAAGGGGAAAGAAAACTTTTTTCAATTTACCACTGGTCCTCACTCTTGCTGACAAGTTCATCTGCTCTGTTTTGGAGGCATTCATTTGCTGATCTTAGAACCAACTTCTTTAGCATTACAACGTAGACTGAAGATCAGTGGCTCTCCAGGAATCCTCCAGTGCTCCAGGATTCCAGAACCAAACTGCCAAGATATCCAGCCTTGTGGACTGAGTGGCTGCCAGATTGGGTTCTCAGCCCTTCCATCATGAGACAGCCATTGTTGGGCTACCCAAACCACAGCCTGTAAGCCTAATAAACCAAGCTTGAAACCATAATCTACCTAGCACTGACCAATGCAGGCTCTATGATTGCTGCTTCAGTCTCTGTGAGCTTGCTTAGTTGATTTTGTGAGATATATTCTCCTAGTATCCACAACCCTTCTGGCTCCTACAGTTCTTTCTCCCCATCTTCTGTGGGGTTTCCTGAGCTTCAAGGGGAAGGAACCAATAATTTCCAATTTGGGATCTCTCTCCACCTAAAGTTTGGCTGCCGGTCTTTGTATCCTCTCCCAGTAGCAGCCAGAGGAAGCCTCTCTGATGATGATTGGGTTAGACTAGTCTATGAGTACAGCAGAATACCATTAGGAATCACTTAACTGATATTTTTTCCCTATCCTAGGTCTCTAGGTTCCCTGGTCATCCAAGAAGTTTTCAGCATGGGGTCCCTCTTCTAATATGACATGTGCCTCAAACTAGATCAGCCATTGGTTGGCCACTCCCACAAATGCTGTGCCTTTATTGTCCCAGCACATCTAGCAAGAAGTACAGGTTATAAGCCATGGGTTTTGTGACTGGGTTTGTGTTCCAGTCCCACCACTGGTAGCCTTGCCTGGTAACAGAAGATGCAGGTTCAGGCTCTGAATCCTCCATTACTAGGAATCCTCACTGGGTCATATTTTTAAAATCCCCAAAGTTTCTACAGCACTAGGTTTCCTTATTGTCTCCCAAATGCCCCCTGATTCTAGTCATCTCTCCCCATATTCTCTCCCTCCACCCCTGCTCTGTACCTGATACCTCCTGTTCCCATTCCCACCCGCCTCTATCCTCCCCTCCCCAAAACACACATAAAACTATTTTATTTCTCCTTCCCAAGGAGATCCATGCTTCTCCCTAGAGTCTTCCTTATTGCTTGGCATCTCTGGGTCTGTGGATTGTAGCATGTTTTCATTTACTGAGCAGTTAATATCCACTTATGAGTGAGTACATAGCATATTTGTCTTCCTGGGTCTGGATTACCACACTCAACGCCATTTGCCTGCAAATTTCATGGTATTATTTTTTTAACAGCTAAGTAATACTTCATTGTATAAATGTATCACATTCTGTTCATCCATTCTTATATTGAGGGACATTAGGTTGTTTCCAGTTTCTGGCTATTTTGAATAAAGCTGCTATGCACATAGTTGAGCAAGTGTCTTTGTAGTAGGATGGCACATACTTTGGGTGTATGCCCAAGAGTGATATAGATGGGTTTTGAGGTAGATTGAATCCCAGTTTTCAGGGGAACTGTGTATTGATTTCCATAGTTTTTATACATGTTTGCAGTCCCACCAGCATTGGAGGAGTGTTTTCCTTGCTCCACGTCCTCTCTACTATGAGCTGTCACTTATGTTATTGATCTTAGTCCTTCTTAAAAGTGTAAGATGGAATCTCAAAATAGTTTTGATTTTCATTTACCTGGTAGCTAAAGATGTTGAACATTTCTTTAAGTCTTTTTCAGCCATTTGAACTTTCTCTACTGACTAATCTGTTTAGATCTTTACCTCATTTTTAAATTGGATTATTTAGTTTGTTGATGTTTAGTTTCTTGAGTTCTTTATATATTTTGGATGTTAGCCCTTTATTGGATATAGAGTTGGTGAAAATCTTTTCCCATTCTGTAGGCTGCCTTTTGTCCTACTGACAGTGTCCTTTGCCTTAGAAGCTTTTCTGTTTCATGAGGTCCCATTTATTAATTGTTGTTCTTAGTGCCTGCACTATTGGTGTTCTGTTGAGGAAGTTGTCTCAATGTGTTCAAGGCTATTTCCCTCTTTCTGTTCTATCAGGTTCGGTGTATCTGGTTTTATGCTGAGGTCTTTGATCCTCTTGGACTTGAGTTTTGTGCAGGGTGATCAATATGGATCTATTTACATTCTTTTACACCCAGACATCCAGTTAGACTAGCACCATATGTTGGAGATGCTTTCTTTTTTTCATTTTGTATTTCTGTCTTCTTATCAAAAATATGTCTTCATAGGGGTATGGATTTATGCCTGGGTCTTCAATTTAATTCCATTGATCAATCAGTATTGGCCATCATGAGTCTACTACCCTGTGGTGACTTTACATAAAAACATGAGTTATCTAATCCATAACTTTCTAACTTTTGTCTTTATAGTTCATGGTCATCTCATAATGCAAATTTCATTCAGTCCATCTTCAAAATTCCTCCTTCAACAGTTCCAACACTGTTCAAATGTATTAGAAATACATACTCCATGATTTTTTCTGTGACCTATCACTCAAATGTGTTGCTTAACTTTTATATACTTAGAAGTTTTTCAAATTTCTTTTTCTTAGTAGATCTAATTTTGTTACACTGTATTTATTTTTTTATTACCCTGTATTTACAGAGTATATTTTTGTTGATATCATTGCCTCAAAGTCTTTGGGAAGTTGAGTCTGATTTTACTTGGAATACAATCTGTGCAAATGATAAAGTTAAAGAAACAAATGTGTTGGCAATTTTTGCCAGTAAGTTTGATGAGTTTATTCTTAAAAAGGTGAGGAGCATATGAAGTCAGGCATGTCAGACCACACCTGTCATCTCAACACTTGGGATATGAAAGCAAACTCAGGAGTTGAAGTACATCCAAGGCTACACTGTGAGTTCAAGGCTAGCCTGAACTACATCAGATGAAAGACAGAAAGAGATAAGGGAAAAAAAGAAACAGCTTATGAGCCTTTATTTTTGAAAACCATAGTCTGAGTAATAAACACAGAGGTTGAAATATAAATGTTACATTATATCAAAATTAAAAGATTTTTTGTTTCTATTTTGTGCTCAAATAGTAAAGTGTCTTCTTATGCTACATGTTCTTGATGTCTTCTTAAAACATTTTAACAAAAATTCCTAATATTCCCTGAAATCTACTTTAAAAATGAATTTCCCACAAGCATTTCCTCCTTTGAATAATTGTGACTTAAGTCACATCCTGACTCCTCTGAAGTCAGTCTTATGAATTCATCTTTACATAATTCTTTTCCTGAATCCACACTTTTCCCATTTAAAATAAAAGACGTATTTATGTTCAAACACTTGTGAAAACTTTGTCTATCAAATGATTTGATTTTAGGTTAAATACTCTTATTGGTCAAGGACAATCATAATGTGCCAATTATGAAAGAAGTAAAGACCTGAAAGATTATTAATTATCTATATATTCATCATATCCTCTTACTCCCCCAGCAATAATTAATAGAAAATGCAAATTGGGTGCTATAACTCTACAAAGCCTTTTCCTCTCCTTTGTTCCCATAATTTTGATTGCAGAAATAAATCAGTCAGGCTGTGTAGCCTTGTCAACCACAGGTGCACATTGCCTTCTCAACAACCATCTCATTTGTTTTAACTAAAAAACTGGATGTTATGAAAGCATACAACGTGTGTGGTGTGTGTGTGTGTGTGTTGGGGGGTGGAGATGGTCTGTTTCCTTCCCCCTTTTTGAGAGTCTTAATTCACTTCATTTTTCTTGTATAAAAACCCTTAGGTGATGGCCACAGTTGAAGCCTGCTTCCTCTGAACAAAAACTCTGGTATGGGTTTTTACAGATGCTTGGTGAATACTTGATAAGGGGACCTGGTGAACACAGTCACTTTTCAGAGGTCAGGGTTTGAGTAGCTGTGGGTCTTGGAGATAGCATCAAAGGTAGCCTTGACAAAGTTACCCAGGGTGGTAGTGCAGTGCCTGGCTGATGTGTAGCAGTCATCAATACCAGCCACCACCGGCAGCTTCTTGGCACAGGATCATAGATGATTCCAGTACCTCTGGGGGCAGGGATGAGACCAACACAGAGCCACAATGGCCTGTCACTTTGCATGGAACAGTGTGGAGTTTGCCAATTTTGTTCCCTTAGTAGCCTCTCCACACAGGATCAATGAAAACCTTGCCCAAAATGATGACCTCTTAGATGGCAGTGACTACTTTTTTAGCACGTAACAACAAGACCAACATGACCATTATAGTCTCCAGTAGTGACAAAATCTTTGAACTGCTTCTGCACTGGCATAATCTTCAGAACTTCATCCTTTGGGGATGTACCCAGGAAGAAGCCAATACTCTCAGATTCCTTGATGGGCAGGGATAACAGGTGGATCTCCTCCGGGGATTGATCTTCAGTCCAAGCTTGGTGACAAGAACCCACTCCTTGTCTTTGCCTTACCTCCAAGAGTCTGAAGCCTAGACCATGAACACCTACTGACTGGACCATGGCCCCTTTGCAATCCTCAGAAGCCACCATTGCCTCCCACACCTGGATCCCTGAGTCTTTCAGGCCCTTTCACTGCTCCAGCATCATCCACCATTTGGTGAGTTCTTGGGGGAAAAATGTTGCCCTTTTTAAGATTACTCAGCAAGCCACTGATTCCTGGATACACATGTCCAGGCTCAAAAAGTGTTGCCTGTTCTCCAATTCTACGAAGTCTGAAAACTGCACACTTAAGAAGCCAGAGCTAAAATTCTGAGAATCTCCAGAAGCTAGGTGTTTGTGGGATTAAGAATCAGGTGAAAGGCACCCTGTAACATTTTTCAGAATAAAAGGTCTGCCAAGGGTAACCATTTCCAACCCAAACCACTGAAAAATACACTCTTGCAGTCACTAATAGTTATGCATAACTTTGCATATTTTAACTTCTTCAATATTTATATCTTCTTTGTTTAACTTTTCATACATAATCTTCTCCCATTTAATTATCTTGCTGTTAACATCATGCCCTAAAAATCATGAACTAAAGAAGTAACTCTTCCTAATTGAAAAGATAAATGATCCATATTGAAACAATATGAACTAGCTATCAAAGGAAAATCCAAATAGATGATGTAACATAACACTCAGAATTCAGACTTGAGTGGGAATTTTTATCTCAGTGTGTGTCTAAATGTTGAGACTTTTTATTCTCTGGTGGTCCCCATTTTAATGTGTGTGTGTGTGTGTGTGTGTGTGTGTGTGTGTGTGTGTATATGCATGCATGTGTGCACGTGTGTGTACATATACATTCCTCATATGAGAGAGAACATGTAGCATATGTCTTTATAAAGCTTTGTTATCTCATTTAATGTAATGGTATTTCCAAATCCATCAATTTTTGCAAATTTCATGATTCTATTATTTTTATAACTGAATAAAATTTCATTTTGTTTACATATCATATTTTCATTTTCAATTATTTGTTAATGAGTATATGATGTAGTTTTGCTTCCTTGCTCTTGTACCCAGTATGACAACAAACATGTTTATCTCTGTGATAGAGTTCAAGGAAGTTTAGGTTTGTGATGGGGATTAGCATGTCTGAGTGATGTAATTCTACTTTGGGATTTCTTAGAAACTTCCATATGGATTTCCACAGTGACTGCCCCAGTTTACACTCCTGCTGGCAGTGGATGAGGCATCCTCTTTTCTACATCCTCACCAACACTTGTAGACTTGTAGTTTGTCTTCTTCTTAATACCCCTTACAAATGGATATGATGAGAGTGAGGTGCCATTTCAAAGCAGCATGAATTTGCTTTTGCCTAAGGACTAAAGACCTTGAATACATTAAAAATATGTATTGGCCACTTTTGTGCCTTTCTTCATTTGAGAGATATCTGCATAGTTCATTGGCCTGGTTATTGGGTGGAAGATTTGTCTTACCATGTTAAATTTCTAATTCTTTATGTATTCTAGATATTAACAAAGATTTTACCCAATCTGTAAGGCTGTCTTTTCACTCTGTTAATAGAACATTTTCTTGTGTCAAGGTCTTTTAATTTTATGCAGGCCCATTTGTTAGTTCTTAAAGTTAGTACCTGAACTGTTAGTGTCCATTATGGGAAGGCCTTGCTCCTGTCTGTCTTGGGTACCCTCGATAGCATTTTTAGCATTTATGGTTTTAAATTCAGGTTTTTAACCCATTAAAATATTTTGTGCAAGATGTAAACCTAATTTAATTCTTCTATTTATGGTTATCCAGTTTTGCCAGCAACATTTATTGGAGAGAATCCTTTGTCTGAAGTTTTTTGTTTCTTTGTTTTACAACTTTGTCCAAACCTAATCGGTAGTATTTATGTAGATTTATTTTTGGATCCTCCTTTATATTCCTTTGGTCTAGTTGTCTGATTTTGTTGTTTGTTTTTTTTTGTGCCAGTCTATGCTGTCTTTGTCATTGAGGCTATGTAGGTAATTTCAGATCACATATATTGTAATATTACTGACACCCTTCTGATTAAGATTGGTTTGGTTATCTGTGGTCATTTGTGTTTCCATACTAATTTTAGGATTTTTTTTCTAGTTCTTGAAAAATGAAATTGGAATTAAGATGGTGATTGCAATGCACCTGTAGATTACTTTGGCACTATACTCATTTTCATGCTATCAGTTCTGCCAATCAAGGAACATGGAATTTCTTTCCATCATCTAGTGCCTTCTCTATTTGTTTCTTTTTCAGTGACTTAAATTGTCATTGTAGAAGACTTTCACTTTCTTGGTTGCATTTAGTCATATGTATTTTAAACTGTTGTGAACAGATACTTTTGCTGATTTCTGTCACATCAAGTCTGCTATTGATATACAGAAAAAGCTATTGTTTTCTGTTGTTTATTTTTGTATCCTACTCTTTTACAGAAAGTGCTGAACACATCTAAAAACAATTCTGATGGAATGTGTTCAGTATTTTAAAATACAGAAACATGTAATGTGTAAATACTGATAATGACTTCATCCTCCCTTATTTGTGTCCCATTTACAGCCTTCTTTTGTATTTCTCTAGCTATGGCTTTAAGAACCATTCTGGATAAGAGAGGAAATGAACACCATTGTCTTATTACAGACTTTTAAGAAAATGCTCTCCGTTTTTCTCCATTTAGTATAATGTTCAATATGAGCTTATCATATGCTTATCATATATTATACTGAGATACATTGTGTCTATTCTTAATACATTCAAGATTTTTATTGTGAAGTCATGTTGCACTTTTCAAATGCCTCTTCTGAATCTAACACATTGTCTTGTGGTTATAATCTTTATGTCTATTATGTTGATGCTTAATACTTATTGATTTTCATATGTTGAACCAGTATTGCTGTTGCAATTTAAGAAAAGTAGCACTCAAAAGAAAGATGCCATGAGACAGGGTTCAAGCAGACGGGGTTTTTATTAGGGAAAAGGATCATTAAAAGGGGAAAATGGAGGGGGGAAACCAGCCTCTGGAGACAGGAGCAAGAGGAGAATGATAGGGAGGAAAGAGAGAGGGAGAGAAAGAGAGCAGAACAGAGGGAAAGAGAGCAGAACAAAGAGAGGGAGAGAAAGAAACAGAAAAAGGCAGGATGGGAGGTGGGCAGGGCCCTTTTAAAAGGGGAACATAGTGATTATACACAGGTGGTGCTCTTAGTGGCTGCAGCTGAGAGTGTATCATGTCGGAACCCCAAGGGCAGGTTAGTACTGATGCCTGAATACTAACAATTGCATCCCAGGAATAAAGCCCACTTTGCCATGGTATATAGCCTTCTCAATATGTTCTTGAAATTAGTTTGAAAGGGTTTTGTTGAGAGTTTTGCATCTATTTCATCTAAGGAATTTGTTTCTGTTGTGTCTTTACCTCGCTTTGGAGTCAAGATATTCCTGTCATTGTTGACTGGGTTTGTTAGTGTTCCTTTCTTTTATATATATAATAGACAGTAGTCCATTTGTTTTATTTTCTTTTTTGTTTGTTTGTTTTTTCTCTTTGGGAGCCCATCACCTAGCTCCAAAATAAATACTTGCCTTTACTTATGAATGCAAGGCCGTAGTTGGCTTGTTTGTAGCCAACTTTTCTAACTTAAATTAACTTATTTCTCTTCTATGTTTTGCCTCTGGGCTTTTTACTTTTCTTTATTCTATATGTTATTTCCCCCTTCTTATTTCATGGCAGGGTAGCTGGCTCCTGGTATCCTCTGCCTCCTCCTTTTCTAGCTCATACTCTTCTCTCTAATTATGAATTTAGATTTCTCCTCCTATTTATTCTTTTTGCCTGGCAGCACTACCTATCCCTCTCTGCTGCCTAATTATTGGTCATTCAGCTCTTTAATAGACCAATCAGTTTTTTTTAGACAGACAAAGTAACACAGCTTTATGGAAGTGCAACTCAAAATAATTAAGACAGCCTGTTTCCACAGTCAGATTTCAAGATCTCAACTTCCTGCCTTCAAGGGAGATAGCAATAAAATACTATTAGAGGATGTCCATGGTATCTGATAATTCATTTATCACATGTCCCTGAAGATCTGCCCTAATCACTATAGGTTTAAATTTTATGGTGATACAACAAACAGAAAAAGAAAAATTTCTCTTCTCTTTGCAAAAGCTACCAGCAAATTTTGTCCCAGCTGTTCCACATGACATCATTTCATCTGAGGATTTTATTAGCACATCAAAAATATAGATAAGGACTGGCTTTTGTTGTATAAATCAATTCCAAATGTTACTTTTTCTCTAAAATTACATGGAAAGGAGGGCCTCTGATAAAAATTGTTTCTTTCATTGCAGGTCATAGCTATTTGATTTTATGTCATTTTTCTTTACTCAGAAAACTTTGAAAAATCAAAAGTATGTTCTTATGATGTCAGTTCTGCAAAATATTCATAACTAGGATGGATGGAAGGCAACATGACCTTTCCACATTCAATACAGGTGCTGGAAGTGACAAGTGATGTGGTTTTTATGATCTGTCACTCTAACTTATGTGGTTTCTAATGCCCTATTGTGACACCAGCCTGTCATAGGCAGCAATGTCTTCCAAATGTAGCTGGTATTCATCTGGACAAGAAAATATCCAGAATAAATAAGGCTGAAGACATCTCCACTATGTGTTTGTAGAAGATAGACATACAGGACAAAGTTCTTGCCGAGAATTCTCAGAAACAAATCAAACAGGATTGTTCCTCTATAGGTAAATGCAATCTTAAAATAATAAGATTTAAGAGAAGAGAAAAAATATGAAGAAGCAAAATAAAAGAATAAAAAGCTTACATGTAAGCATATTTATGACCTACATATATTCACACTTTTAATAAATGAGAAGACTCGATATTAAACAATGATGACTTTTTACCATATCAATTTACAAATACCACTGAGTCATAATTTAAACTCCATCATTTTATAAAACATTATTATAGGGTTGAGAAATTTATAAAGCACATTAGTGGCCTAAGACTACACAAGCAAAACATATGAACAAAGACAGGCTACTTGCCTTAATAAATGATAACATTTACTTTAAGCACATAGTAAGTAAAATAATTTGCCATTAATACAATACAGAAATAAGCAAATAGGTCAGTATGATTTTAAGAGGGAAATATTGTATATGAGTTTTTACATATTAGTGTTAGCAATACAAATCCATGACCTTTGATGGATCAAATAGTATTGGATCTTTATAACTCACAACACAAAGTAAAACTGGAGCTAAATTAAGAGTTATTAGGGTGTGTTATCCAGGCTTCCACTGGTCTACATGTGAAGGACCTCCCACACTCTATTTTCTCCAGGGGACACAAACACATACTGCCTTAGCTAACATTTAAATCCTAAGCTCCACTCACTCTTATCTTTGCCATTTCTCTGCCCCTGGACATGCTTGGGACTCACCTCCCACCCAGAACTGCTCAATGTTATCTTTCTTTCCTATTGTATGTTCTGCACTATAATCTCTATGTCTGATATAGTTAGTGTATACTGTATTTCCTGTTAATCAGTCTCACTCTAATTAATACATGAATAACACGAGGGTGGGCTAATTATTATTCCTTTGTTTACTGATAGATTTAACAAATGGAAATTACTTGGAATTCTGGTGGCACAAAATACAGTGGTTACTTGGTATTCAGGGGGTTTAGAATAACAAACTATGAGGCTGCACTGGCCCGGTGTGAAAGATGGGGCAGTATTTGTACAAAACCTGTACATGCTTCCTGTCTACCTTAAATAACCTCCAGTCTACTTATTAATACCGAACACAGAGCAAATGCTTTAGAGATAGCTGTTCTAGGCTATTATTTGTGGAATGTGACAGAAAGAAAAGGTTTGAACATGCTGAACATTGATGCAACCAACATAGGACTAGCTACATTTTGATCAATGGTTGATTGGATTTGTGGATGTGGAAAACCTCCTGTACTTGATCACTGAATGAACTAATAAGATACAACGTAAAAATCAAGTTGTAAAACAGAATAAAATGTGATACAGTTCACACAGTAGTTTAAAAAACATCCAAACAATATTGTCCCTGAATATTTAGAACATTTTTCAATGGACTGGAAAAGATGTATTCTAACTCCTGGCAGTGATTGTCCCCCAAAAGATGATTATAACAGGTTTGGAGGGAAAGAACATTCCAACTGCATCTCTCAAATATGTTTTATTCTATGTAAATACTCAGAAGTAAATATGTAAAAATTAGTCATTAAGACTATGCAATGCTTCTGGTCGATTCAAATCAAAATAAAACAAATGAGTGACTCTACTGTAAGCTGTCAGCATGTGCTCAGGATTGGGCTGATATTTAGCGTTTCAGAAGGTGAAGATGGTGGTTACAATGATTCAAGGTACTTCCAGCAAGGGTCAACTTTCAAGTGCCGTCACTTCAGCTTCACAGCCAGATTCCCAAAGTTCTGACTTACTCTGTTTACTAAATTTCAAACTTCTGATCTTAAACTGATTCTTTGCAATTAATTTAAATGAAAAGAGAGAGAAATGGCTCCCCAGAAATGAAACTTTTCATGGTTTACCAGAGATCAACTTGGTCAATCCTTTGAATTGGTTTTCCAAAGGTAAACTTGGTCCATTGTGTTTTTAGCTACAATGTGATGTTTAGGAGCTGAGAACACTTAGTTATGGGCAAGATTGCTAGAGTGATCCCAGGTGAAGGGGGGATGTCAAGCTGAGGCACCAGAGGGTAAGAGAAGCAGCTGTTTGGGAGCTACAGGGCTGGGTATGTGAATGGCTTTTGGGTGCTTATGTATGTGTTCCTATGGAGAAGGTACTGAATGCAAAGTCCAGTGTCATATGCCACTCTTAGCATATGACCCCCACTAATGCCATCTGCTAAGAAGTCTGCTTGTCTCAGGCACAGTCTGTGGCATACATCATCAAAGCCAATTCTGCAGGTCAAGGACTGAACAATTATTCCCTTACCAAGGACCCATTAAAACAATGTTCTCTGTGTGGGTTTTGCACTTCTTATTGCTCAAAGGATAAAATTGAAATCCATGAGTAGCATGAGAAGAATCAGTCAGACTGAAGCTTCACTAATCTTAGCAAATATAACCGATATTGTAGTTAGCTCATCTACCCTAAAAGGAAAAAAAAAGTGTGTGGTTCTCATAGGGCTTTTTAAGAACCTGAGTGTAGCTTCACAAACCCATGACTAACATCAGGAATACCACGACCTAAAGTTTGCTTCCATAGATTTTGTTTGTATCAAACCAGGGAGGGCAGAACAAAATGCATCCTCTTAATACATCTTTTCTGTGTTGGACTTTGAACATTTCTGAACTTACCACAGCTTCATACTGTGAAACCATTATTCATGAGACTTCAGAAAGACTATAACATCATGCATTGTGTAATCATGATGGAACTGGGAACATTATGTTAAACGCAGTGAGAAAGGAACAGAATGGCAAAGGCTAACAGTCTCATTCTCTTTGAAAGTTAAAATATTGTTTTCAAATTTCAAGTAGAGAGAATGGTGATCATTGGAGGCTGGGGAATACAGAAGGAAGTTGGACAAGGGTACCACAATAGGAAATTCTGTGCAGAGATTTCTCAAAAACTAAAACTATGTATGACCCATATATTTCATTCCTGGCCTATGTACAGAATAGTTATGTAAGAGAGATAAATTCTATTATTCCTCAACATTTTATGGTGAATATACTTCATAACAATTCATTATGTATCTCTTTTTAGAAATAAAAGAGAACAGTTCATGTCTAGCATAAGAAAATGATAAATTTTTAAGGAAAGGAAAAATTTAAATTACTTAGATTTGATCATTATACATTGCATTCCTGTATCAGACTCTCAGAGGAGTCCCTGTGAATATGTCCAATTACTGTGTTAATTCAAAGGAGAACTAGGAAACATCATTGCATAATTGTAGGAAGAGGTCAGGTAAACAAAAGACCACTCCCAAGAGTTTTGTGGGTTAAGTTCCTTCCGTATGGTGCATATCATTAGCCTAGGGCTCTATCTCTGCATTGAGAATTCCTTACACGGAGAGGGACTCCGAGAATAATAAAACCAAGATAACAACGAAAGGTCAAAATTTCAAGCTGCTTTGAACCACATAAAAGCAAATTTAATAAATGCTTCTCAGAAGATGTTTATGAGTAATCATTAGGGCTGTGCAAGCTTGCCTGTGTCTAATACTCAGGCCTGCCAAGGTCCATCGGATATAGATGGTTCCGTTGACCCAAGTATGATTCCGTGACTTGATAATCAACCCGTCATTAGCATCAATGCCATGAATGAGGTCAATAATCTTCTGAAATAGAAGGCCCTTTAACTCCAAGAAAGTAGACAAGCATGTATTTATATTCCACAAAAAAAGCAGTCAGGCAAGCATGAAACACAAAGTGTTTTTCTCCCTCATTACACAGGCAGCTGAAGTGTCATGTCTTGAAAATGGCATGACTAGGTAAACCATCCCCAGAAAGATAATTAATCATGAAGAAGCACATAAGAATTGATAGGTTTTGTACTTGCCCAAAATGTAACAGAATTCTGTAGTCTGAAGGTTCTTTATTACTTTCTCTTGCCTCTAGCCTTCAGGGGAAGCTAACCATTTCATTCTCTAATTGGATCTTTAATGCTGGAAAAGATAGCATTTCACAGATAGACTGTTGGCCAAAATGCTGACAGTGATGTATATGGTCTGAATAACATTCTGTCATAGCTGTGAAGTTTATGGATCCACAGGCACATTTACACCCTGCTGCACTCCAAACAGTCTGGTGCTTTCAGGACAGTGAAATGAGACAGAAAATCCAGAATGGAATAGAGAACTATTTCATTCACCACGGGATGAGCCAGGCACACGTGACTACATTAAATGAGATCACTATGAGCATATGAAACTCAGTGAACAGATTACAGGAAATCAGACCAACAAAGTATTCAAATCCACAGGAACACAGTTTGTGTGAGCATACTTGAGTTTAAAATTTTCAGAGATCCATTTGGCTGAACAACAATTTATTTAACTCAGCGTTATGCATCATCATATGCATGAATTTTTCCTTATGGGACAGCAGATAGATTCAAGCTGAGGTCAACTATTTAGATAAAATAGGATTCAGAAGACATAAAGACTAATGTGAATTTGTTGAACTAAGGTAGTCATTACCATCCCCTCAAAGTGTTTACTGTCCATTGAGAACCACACACATCAATTTAAAAAGTCACATAATATACAAATAAAATGTGTGAATAGGAAATTTACAAGGAGCATATGAAGGCTCCACTAAAATTGTCTTCATCAGTCATTAAGAGAAAGCCCTTAAGTTACAGCAGAGTGGGTTAACTAGGTCAGGAAATAAAATAGAGTATACAAATGTCCCATAAAATATGGAAACATTGGGAGATTTCAAGACCAAAGAAAGTTCCCAAGTTCATTCCTAAATATTTGAAATGCAGATGACTCTCGAGGCCAGAGGGCAGCCCCATACTTGGGTAATCAACCTGTAGCCCAATAATAACTCTTTTGGAAAGCCACACTAGTGGCTCTTTGATGGCTGTTAATCTGCTGAGAGCTGATAAGAAAGATGAAAAGCTTTTATAGAGTTCTATTCCTTCAGTTGCCTTGGAGCACAGAGTGAGTTCCTCTAAGTCTGTCTATGATCAAGCAGGTTTCCCACTTTTCCATGGTTCCAAGCTCCACTCTGGAGAGATACACACAAAGCATCAGTCTTCACTCCATGCAGAATGAGAGGACAGGACCCCCTTGAGTGAAGCTGGAACATCCTAGAAGTGAAGCTTTAAAAAGATGCTTGGGTACACCTACAGACTAACAAAAGTCATTAACTTTTTTTTTCCTGTGCCTGAGGATATATGCCACCAAGTGTGTACAAGTGTTTACAATAAGTATTCCTCTTCCACACACAGAGGATGTTGGCCCTGTCACCTGATTAAACAAAAGGAAGAAAGAAGATGGAGGGAAAAACTGAACCAAGTGAGTGTGATGCTTTCATTCTGTTACAGTTGGTCCCTAGGAGAAGCCTTGAGGAGATGGGTGTGGGTGAAATAACTCTTGCTCTCTAAAGCTGTAGCTCCTCAGATGTGAAGACTGGAAACTTCTTTGCTCTTTAAGATGGGTGGAAAATGTTGCTTACAAACTTGCTAAGAATAAAGGCTCTGAGAATAATCCATAATCAAAGTTCAGCCATTACCACTAGGAGCAAGGAAAAAATATGTTAGTTGGGCTTTAAAAGAAAGGAGCGACACCAACATGATGGGAAGAACACTCTTGCCAAAGGAAGAGGGATGCTTTCTAGAAAGACTCCAGAAACCCACAAGTATATTTCAAATCTGAAGGCTTCATATCTTCAGCAATAGTTCACAAGTAGCCTGGCCAGCTGCCTCCAAGATATCAGTGAATATTTCTCTTCTAACCCGGGAAACAGCAATGCGCCCTCTCACCTTCCTCTCATTCCCCCCATATTGAACTGCATTCTGCAGCATCAGCTGGCCCTTGTCTACTTACAACAGAAGAGGATAGTAAATGAGCATAGCTCTCTGCTGTAAAGTCCAAAGGCAAAAAGAGCTTAGCCATGGTACACCAGTCCCAGGGCTGCTTTGTGACTCAGTTGGGTTCAAATACCTCCTTGATGTATTGAGGCCACCCTCTGTGCCCTCAGCAAGACTGTGTGATTCCTGAGGACAGGATCAGTGTTGTCCATGTCCATGGCCCCTGGCAACTTAAAAAGGTTTAGAGGCTAAATACTACTCTATCATTTTCCATAAAAGATACCTAGAGGTTGGTTAGCGTTCACCTCAACCAGCTCTGCAAGTCAGTGTGCTGAGGGACACTGGGAAATCTGTATGCTTTGCTTACACAGTTAGAATTTTGCCACATGAATATACAGATGTTTTAAAATAAGATGCTCAAATTACTTTGTATTCATGTGGGGGTACTAAATCTATGCCAGGGCACCTATTCTGTGGGGTAAAAGATAGTTAGTTACTAATGGTTTCTAAGGATCTCCATAAGAAAAATTAGTGGTTAAGACAACATGAAGCACAAATGTGTTTTAATAGGACATCAGCTCCCCCTCTCCAAGAGCTATAACTTCCTCTCCCATAGAGCCCAGAGACCACCTATTTCTCATTCTCAATCCAGCATCGTGGACATCTACTATAAAGTTTGTACCCTGAAACTGCTGTATTTCCAGAGCTTGTATTGAAATTCAACCCCAAACTACTAAATCTAAACCAGAAACTAGAGAAACTGGTCAGAGGGGAGAATCTGGCACTGCAGGACAATTGCAAAAGGGTGGCCATCGGCCTCCAGACGAAAGGGAATGTTTCCCACCAAGGGGATGCTGTGGCCGATTTGGATGGCTGCCTCCAAGCCAGGGTGCTCTCCTATTTATGGCCACTAAGGCAAAATGTGTCTCACACCATCAAATCTTGCCATTGCCTTTTTTGTGTAAACAGATTCTGTCCTAAGGAGCTGCCGTTTTAGTTTCCATCGTCATCTCTCAAACTATAGGTGGTAGTGGTAGCGTCATCAGCAACACCATGGGGGGTAGTAATAAAACAGACTCTTCCAAACTGTTGTTTTCACTCCATGATGACTGAAGGGAGAGAAATGCTTTGGGTTGGGGTAGGGAGGATGGCTCCCAATGAAGGCCCCGGGTCTCTTTGGTAACAGTATAATCCATCTACTTGCCCAAATAAGGCATTTCTAATTCTGATGGATGAATCACAGAGCCATCCAACTCCTTTGTCAAGGAAAATGGAGTATTATTTATCTGAGAGCTTACAAAAAGTGGCTTTGTCCCAGCCAGCTGGTGCAAATGGACCAACCACAATGGGGTCTCTGTGCTCTTGAGAGCAGTGAACACCTGCTGAGCACCCCTAAAGGTTCATGATACCATGTGAGGAGAATTCCCAATGCATACTGAGTGACCAGTTCAGATATGCAGCAAGTAAGGTCCCACCATGTGCCAAGCTCTATGCTAAATGCCCAGCATGGTCTTTGTACCGCCCCCCCCCCCCCAAGTTTTCTCCTCTCAGAACCAAGATGTCTGTTTCTGATACATGGAGAATAACTCAGAACAAATAGCTAATGTTAGAATCAGGGTACCTGAGCTTCAGAGTAAGTTCAAGACCAGCCTCAAACCAAAATTGAAGGTTCACATTATAGTTCAGTGCCTGCTTAATATGTATAAGCCCCTGAGTGTAATGTGAGCTTTCTGGCCCGGTAGGTTATATGGCCCTTGAGCCCCAAATAAACACACAGACACTATAGTAATTATGAAACTGTTGGCCAGTGGTTTGGGCTTCTTATTGGCTAACTCTGTCTTAATTATAACCCGTTTCTATTAATCTAAGTATTTCCATATGGTCTTATCTTACCGGAGAATGCCGGACCTGCAACTACTTTGCCTGCTGCATCACAACTGACTCTGGTGGACTATCCTGCCTACCTTTCCCAGACTTCTCCTCCTCTCCTAGTCCTGCCTATCTTAATGCATCATTGGCTACTGGCAGAAAAGAGGAGATGATGGGGGGCTGCTTTTCTGTACATATCTTTCTCTTATTGGTTAATGAATAAAGCACTGTGTAGCTAGTGGCCAGGCAGGACAGATAGGTGGGGCTACCAAAGGAGGAGAATTCTGGGAAGTATAGGCAGACAGGAGTCCTGTGAGCCCTGGAAGAGAGGACGTGATAAGGTATTTTCCAGTAAGATAAAACCATGTAGAAATACACAGATTAGTAGTTATGGGTTAATAATTAAGACAAAGCTAGCCAATAAGAAGCCCAAGCCACCGGCCAACATTTTCATAATTAATATAGTGACTGTGTGTTCATTTGGGGTAAGGCAGCTGCAGAACTGAGTAGGTAATCCTGTAACACCTGGGTTCAATCCTCAGCGTGTATGTATGAAGGTGGGGGTATATTAATTAACTTCAGGTTTCAGCTTGACCTACCCTAGAGTCCCCTGAGTGAGTCTTTATGGAGAGATGCCTCAGGTCAAACAGGCCTGTGGCCATATCTGTGAGTGGTTAGCTTCACTGATGATTGATATAGGAGGGTCCAGCCCACTGTGAGCAGCACTATCCCTAGGCAGGTTGTCCGGGGCTACATAAAAAAAAAAAAAAAAAAAAAAAAAAAAATTGAGCTTGTGAGAAAGCCAGTAAGCAGTATTCCTCCATGTTTCTTCTCCAGGTTCCTGATTTGAGTTCTTGTTTTGACTTCTCTCGGCGATGGATTGCTACTTAGAAGTATTAGCTGAATAAACCTTCTCTTCCCCAGGTCGCTTTTGTTCAGAATGCTTTAACACAGTAACAGAAAGTAAACTAGAACAGGGGAAGCCAGGAAAACACCACAGGAATCTAGAGCAAGGAGGAGTGGATGTGGCTCAAGCAGCTAAAGGAAACACAGGCACCAGACAGGTGTCACAGTGAGGGCACATCCACAGACATGCCCTGCTGATCTGCAGGCTTCAGCAAACCACTAGCATGGATACAGATCACAGATTTGGAGAGGAAATAGGCCTGACAACCAAAGCTTTTGCAAGGAGTGCTGGAAGTAAGCATAGAGTAGGACTGAAATGGACCCGAGCTCTTAGATCCTCAGACAGTGAGGCAGCCACAGAAGGCAGCAATGAGTTCCTGGAGTTCTTCATATCCACAAGTTGATTCAGGCTCCAACCCTTTTCTCTCCATTTCTCCGTCTCTCAGTCTCTCTCATTCCTTTTGAAACTATAAGTCTAAAACACATTGCTACTTTGAGTTTTGTCCTTCTACAAAGAATTTTTTGTAGGCCTTGAAATTTACTCATTGATAACAAGATGAAGAAGACTTAGTCATATTTTGGTCAGACTACTCTGCAACAGATATCAGCTATTAGCTTCACCCAGTTACTATGCCTGTCATGAATCTTTACAGCAAGACACTGAAGTAGATTTTTTTTTGTTTTCAAATTTAAAAATACATATCCCAGAAATATTAAGTCATGTTAACAAAGTTACATAATGAATGGTCAGTGTACACTCTCGTCACAGGTCCATGGAGGGCCCTTTAGAGTCAACAACCTCAACCTGAATAAACTTTGTCCATACAGTGGGAAGGGATTGATGATCATCCTCACACACACCAAGGACACAGGTGAATTGCCTGTGTGTAACACTTAAGGCACCCAGTTTGAGACTCACCCAACAAGATGAAGCATCCTCTTGATTCATCCATCCATTCAACAGCGGGATGTGCTTGTTACAGGCTAGGAATGGCTGCAGGCTCTGGGACAGAAAAAAGAGCCATGCAGTGCCTGCCCTTGCTGTGCACTTTCCCCTGCTGGGGAAAGATGAATGCCTGGGAAACAATTAGAAAGGACTTGTTGACACAGTAATAAATTTTGAGGAGTTATTATTCAAATTGTGCCATGTCTCCCAAAGGGAAAATGCTAACACAAATGAATATAGCAAACTATAAAGCACAGCCACAGATAGTATGGCTTCATATTAAATTTAAAAAAAAATCTAAAGTATTAAGAGTGAATTCCTTTGGAATTTTAGAGCAAAGCCGCCCTACCATCATTCTCAGACAACTATTCTCCCTTTGAAGACAAAGTTTCATCTGACAGTGCATCTGTAGAAAGTGAATTCTTGACAATGGGCTAGTCAGTTACCATGCTCCATGAATTACCCACCATGACCCGGGTGTCATCTCACCCACCAAGCTATGAAGTTTCACATAGCAGCAATTCATCATCAAATGGGAGTGTTATGTACATTACTGAGCCCAGGCAGATCAGGAATGCCCAAGTGGTTACATGAAGAAGTGGCTCAAATCCCTCTATTTCCTAATGCTGATACAAAGCTTTCTATCTCCTAGGATACACCTAAGTCCTCATGAGGCATGCTCTATGATGGATTCAGTAAGAAAATAAAACAAGAATCTAAACTATAGACGCATCGCATCTGCTTACTATACAGGTGCTCCCCAC